TTCTAGGGAAAAGCCCTGGGGACGAGGTAGTAAATCAAGTTGTTCACTTGAATAAAGTCATACAAAGAATCGTGGACGTAAAGTTCAATAACCTTCAAAGTAGATAGGACTGCATGTGAGGACACAAATTGGACGATAATTAGATGGGTCGCTTGCATCACCTTTTTTGAACAAAGGGTTAACTTAAGCGTTTTCCAACGTTGAGGCAAATTTCTAGTTGCTGAGAATGAGTAGTTAATCATCCTTGCAATACTCGGCGTGATAACTGGTGCAGTCAAACGAAGTAAACGTGCATTAATCCCGTCAATACCAGCAGATTTATTAGGACTAACTCTCGATCTTCAGAATACTAATAAGTTGAGTAACAGTAATATCTCGAAGAGTGAACACAACATCATGATCTCTTCTGGAGTTGACAAAATTAGTTAATCTGGACAAGTCATTATTTAAATCGATCTGGTGACTTTTCCCTAAGTTTATCGGCGATTTTTGAGAAATGAGTGTTAAATTGCTCAAAAAGTTCACTAGGATCATCAATCACTTTGCCGTCCACTTCAAGGTTTCTAACACAGGAATTCTTAGCTGATAATTCTTAGCTGATATCCTTCTGGATAGGTTTGAGTAAATTTAAAATTTTACTCAAAGATCAGATGAAGAAGGTTGGAGCCTGCTCGCTAAGTTTATAGGACAAAGACAAGGACTCAGTGGGGGAAAGAGCCATCCATATTGAAATGTAAAATTTCTAGATTAAGGAAAACCTACAAGCAGAGTTCCTATTTGAAGACATATAATTGCTGAAAGTTTTTCTTCAAGAAATCTGACACACAATGGATGAAATAGTCAGAGTCATGTAACCTTTTGATTTATGGGACACAGCATATAGATTATCACCGTTTTTTTGGTGAAAGAATAAACTATATCCTTTATAGTCTTGTCACATACGTGGCAGTATAATTATCAACGGCAAACAAAGGTTACTTTCGAATTCCAATTTTTATGTATTTGAGTTAAGATAAATGCGAGCGGAATACTGTCATCGCTAATTAAACTTTCACAGTTAACAATACAGCACTTTTTCGAAGTTTTTAACTGAAGGACAGTCTAGATAGGTCAAGATGTATTTATGTTACGTCAGTATTAGACTACTTTCTGGAGGCACCAGCGAAAGGCTCTGAACATTTCCCAAAAAGGCAGTAGAGAGAACAGCAATCCATTAACGAATCGCACGGTTGACCCAATGGGCTACATCCCTGCTGCCACGACTTAAGCAAAAACGGAACGGCGACCTTGAACTCAACCAGTTTTTCAATCGTTTCTCTGCGACGAATGAGGCGAGCGGAAACCAGAACGAGGCTAATAGACACCAAGGACATGGCCAATAAGAACTTCATGTCTTTTGGCTGAGAGAAAATGTAGTACGAATTCAGTTCAATATTATATTGTTGCATAAAAAAGTAGGACTGAGTAAGAATCTTTGAGTGTTCTGTTTATAATTAGCTACCCTGCGAGCAGAGGTTCAAGCCGTGCAAGAGAGGAACCTCTACTCGCAGGGTAGCTAATTATAAACAGAACAGCAAAAACCTCTCAGAAGCATCTAGCGACTGTTTTCTGTAAAATATCTTTTCGGAAAAGCAAGCATGCCCTAGAATTTTTCATTACTTGAGGACGGCTAAAAATTACACTCCCCACGTTAGGCTATTTTTCGTAGAAAAAAGAAACCTAAGTTTTTCTTATTCAAAAATGTAATGGAGAGAAGAAAACAGAAAAATGCTCACTTTCTTAAAACGTTAATTAAATTAGATCTAAAATTAGCGGGGAAATACTGAAGCCCTTGTAATTTTGAAAAGACTCAAGTTCCCCTAGGATTACCGAACAGATATAAATCTTATAGCGCTGCTTAGAATGCATTTCTAGAGATCTGAAATTACCCTGGATAGCCTAAAAATTTTTTTTTCAATGTATTTAGGAGGAAATAGTTGCTGGGTGCCCCTGACCTCTGCTCGCAGGGTAATAACTAGCTGATAATACTTTCGAATTCTCATCTGTACGGTGATTGGATATGCTAGTTGTGCCTTATCCTCTAAGTAGACGGATTTTATTCTTGACGAATTGTTCAGATTGTTTGTATCCTTCTCTGTAAATGTTTGTAATATTCTCAACTGGTTGCACAAATTAAATACCCTAAAATTTCGAAAATAAGCCCCTCCATGTATAAGCCCCCTAAACTCGTAACGCAAAAATCCCTCCGATAAATCGACCCTCCGAGTATAAGCCCTCGGGAGCTTGTACTTGGAAATTGCCCTCAAATTCAAAATAAAATGAGGCAAAACTGTACAGTAACACATGAATTTTTGTATTTGCCTAAGAACTCTTGCGTGTACCAAATGATTGTAGTCAGAAATTGCTGTTTGCATAGTTCACTCTTCACTCTTGGCTTGGATTTCCTTGGTCCATGTAGATCAAGTTCCTCCATGGCTGCGTTTTACAAAGGTGTATTTCCTCAAGGCAGGTTCAGTGAAACCTTTCTGCAAATTACTGACATAAATTTTCCTTCCAACTATAAGTTAGCCCAACCGATTTTGAGACGCAAATTTCCCTCCAAGTATAAGCCTAGCTGATTTTGAAACGAGAGCTTCCCCCACAAATAGGCCTTTGAAACATATAAGCCCCGAGGCTTATTTTCGGAATTTTACGGGACTTCCATAAGAATCTGATTGAAATGATTAAAAGGAGAAAAGAACTCATTGAAGACACGCACGACAACTGAGTGTCACAAGATCGATGTGAACAGTCACGCAGTCTAACAGCAAAGGATACTTTCAATAGGCCTCTTTTGAATTTACGAGTTGGCTCCCAACTTCGTTTCCAGGGTTCTCCGCTACTAATTACCCGTCTCTCTTGCTTCGGAGGACGAATGGGAGAGAACCATGGGAACAAGGTTGTTTGGCTCCGAGGCTGCGTGGTATTATTAATGATACAAAGGCGCCTTGCGGGGGTGCGCTTCTCGGTACTATTAAAGACGCTTTCACTCCACGTGTTCTTTTTTAACGCTTTCTTTTCCTTGTGTGCCCATTTTGGTCTGGAGTCGGGTATGATTTTCTAGGGAACTACGGGAGTGGATGAACGTATTTATGGTTTTAATTCCAAATGAGTAAGAACGAATTCGAAATGGATTTTAAGAAATCGTTTTTTTTAGAGGTGAGTTCTGAAAACGGGTGTGAAAAATGACAGTTTTAGGTCTGATATAGGATTAGGATTTGGAGAACGGGGCGGCACACCCCCACCAAGAATTCCCAGGAGTACCTTCTGGGGGATCAGTGCTTTAAACTTTTTGTTCCATGAATCCTTCGTTGCAACGCACCCTTTCTGGTGCCTAGTGCCAGGCTTTTCAGGAAAAAAAACAACCACGACCCAGTGTCTTTTGGAAAGCGAGAAGACACTGGGGACGAGGGTGGGTAGAAAAAATGGGATGAATTTATCCGTCTACTGTGAATTCGAGACGAATAATCCGTCTTTGACGGATTATTCGTCTTCAAAATCCGTCTAAAAAGCCGGATAAAGTGAGACGAATTATCCGTCCAAATTGAACAACGGCCGTTTTTACACTTGAGATGGATTATTCGTCTGAGACAGATAATCTATCTTCAAAATCCCTCAAAATTGACGGAAAAACAGATGGATAAAATCAGGCGGATTGTCCATGCAAAATTAAGACCGTTCCATTTTCAAATTACGACGTATTATCTGTCTGCCAGACAGACGGAAAATTCGTCTCAGACGGATAATCCGTCTCTAGTGTGAATATGTTTATCGTCTCGTTTTCACATCTAGACGGATAATCCGTCTCCAGTATGAAAACGGCAATTGTCATTCAACGTAACACTGAACTAGTAAATGGACAATTTCTCAACATTCATTTGCCACTAATCTCATACTGTACTTTGAGGTAAAAAGTACCTTTTAATACCGTAATTCCTTTTAACACAAAGATAAATTAGTGGCGTGTAGGATGTAGTAAGGTTAAGTAAGACTATTGAACTGAATTTCAGTCAAATTGAAATTAAGAATAGAGACCTTAAGATCGAGGTTTGGCCATCTTACTGCAAACGGCAAACTATTTTAGCTCAGAAATTGTCTTCAAAAATACGTTCCTATGAAAACGAATTGGATGATTAATAAGCGAAAGAGTTCCAGAAAGTAGTATTTCCTCTCAAACGCGGGATTGGAATGTTTTGGGGTGCAAAAATCCTTGCAGTAAATCACTTAACCCTAGAGCGTGCTCATGCTGTACAAATGTGAACCTCAAACCCCAAATTCTGACGGCAGGGCACTGGTCACGTGACTTCTTGACGTTCGCGGTTAGCCGGAAATGCCAAAACACTCCGATCTTAAGGTCTCTAATATAAAAGCGCAATGTCATGCAATTTTAGGCAATTTTTAGCTAAAACCAAGAGATAAAAAAAAACATCACGTATCCTCTTCAACCTCAGATAGGACCTGTATAGTCAAGACTGAAGAAGATGGAGCAAACTTGAAAAACGTCGGCTCCACTTTTGGTTTAGTTTCGGGAGATAATCCGGCATGAAAGAGAATCAGAGCACAATATCAATTTTACGCTAAGTTCTCAAAGTAAATTTCAAAAGCACGTATAATGATAAACTTCTAGAAGGAGGGTGTGAAAAAATAGATACAGTAGCAAAGTGAAAAATTGTTACAATCTGTAAAGAAATGGAATCTCCTCATAGTCTTCAGAGGTACAGTTTTTCAGTCAGTAGATCGTTTACAAGGAAAGCCGTAAAATTAAATGACCACGAAGACCAAGTTTTAAAGCATGGCACAATATAGCGAGGCATCTTCCATGGCGGGCTTTCCTCGTTTAAGAAATAATCGGTACCACAAAATCATGTTTACAAGTTCTTTAAGGTTTTGACTGTAAATCGACTGCGGCATGTTTAAAGTAGTGTCAACCTCCAGCATAACTATTTTAAGTTGCATTCTGTTCATCGGCGCGTTCGTTTACTGGTTCTTACATCTTCAGGGGAGATCGCAGCACCTCGCCTCGTTCGCGGAGAAGTTGTGTTTCCCGATGCGTTGCTCGAACCATTTACGACCGGAGTCGATAAGGTCGGAGAAGCGGTAGCCACAGCCGCAGCTCGTGCGCTGGAGCGACGCGAGGTAGCTGTTCTTGTAGGTGGAGTGTTGATTTCTGTCAGCAGCATAGTGGCCGGACTGGGAGGCATATTGTACTGGGTCGGAGTCATGCCCAAACGCTCCTCAATCATGCGTAACTGGGTTTCAGCCTCTCTGCATTCCCGGTGTTTAATTTTCATCTCCTCCGTTTGTCCGTGCTGTAGCTGCAGCTGTTAGAGAAAGGAGATAGAGAAAGTGTTCCCTTCAAATGCTCCAAGATCAAATTCGTAAATCAGCTAACCGATACCAACGATTTGTTTTGAAAATAAACTGGCGAGCAGAACAGAAAAGTAGTGAAAGCGGATTCAAATCTTTAAGTTATGGGGTCGCGCTCACCTATACGATAAGAAGGAAAGCGGCCTTAACCCTCTAAGCCCCAATTAATATACACATACAAATTCTCCAAAGTGATCTCCATACATTTCCCTTAAGAATAAGTCGAGAGAATTCAATAAATGATCATGGCATTTTTCTTTGGCGATCATTTTATTAATTCTCATAACCTCATCTTATGACAATATACGAATATTGTTAGGAGAAAAATGACGTTGGTCACTTTTGGGACTTAAAACAACAAAGGGTTAAAACAAGACTCGACGCGATTCAGGCAGAACTTCCCCTTCTCATCCGCTCCCAAGAAAAGAAGACTGACAGCAGGGTGGATTTGTGTACGAAAGGAAAAAAAAACCAATGCGATGCGCTTCTTTAAGCTTACCGAAAGTTCTTCCTTGGCTTGTGTGTGTTTGATAACGGCTTGTTTAAAAGCTTGTAGTTGTTCTGACAACATAATGAATAAAGAAAAACATTAGCAGCAATGTTGGAGTTATACATTGGCGATGAAAAATGAGAAGAGCTTTAGTTGTCACTCACCAATCTGCGTTGTCAGTGAATGGAATGTCAGCGGAAGAGGCGCAGCGAACACTGCGCCGCGCATTCTCTCAAGAGGAGGAGCTTTGTTCTGCAGTCCGCCGAATTTACCTTTGCAAGAGAGCAAAACTATGGAGATTAAAATTCTCACTAGAAGAAACAGTATCACGGGGATTGGTGCGACTCTTTAAACCCTAAAATTAATACAAACATTCTCCACAACGTTCTCCACGCATATCCTGCGTAATCAAGACCTTTTTCACTTGCTGATCATGTGCTTTTTCTCACGGTATTTATGTTTGACTGAACAGTGTAAGAATAAGGAGAAATTCTACCTCACCTTGCGTCATTCCATGATCACGTGATATTGCGCGACCTGCCAGCTCAGCATGTTATCGATATTTATGTTTGACTGAACAGTGTAAGAATAAGGAGAAATCTTAAACACTAGTCACCTAAAGGTTAATGGGCTCAATAACTTACCGTTACTTCTGATGCGATCTCCTCCTCTTGTAAGAATCGTAGGACAATGAGTGTGCTTTACAACCTACATCATAACAATACACAAGGGAGGTTAAGCAAAGACATTTCTGGACGTAATACGTCAACCGGAAGTGAAGCCTTTTCTCATTACCTTGACGCTAACAAATGTGCCTTGTTAAGTCCGTATTTATTCGAATAAGCGCCCAACCTCAAATTAGCGCCCACTTCGAATAAGCGCCCAACCCCACCCCACTCCCCGATGTCGGACATCGAGGAGGCAGCACCAGAGAATTCACTTATTGACTTGAGTGACAATGAGATTGAAATTGAAATTGAATAAGTACTAATAAGAGACTTCCCCGAAGACGAAGTTTTCTTCAGGGCATTTTACAGAGACCTTACTTTGTTACATCTTCGCGTTTTGTTATTACAATTTATTGTTTGCTGCAAAATAAACATACCTGACTTGCTGAAAATGGTGAAAATTTAATAAGCGCCCAGGGCAGGTTAATCGAATAAATACGGTATCTTTACTCTTACTGAGACGAATTGCCAGAAATTTAATTTGGGAAAAAACT